TCCCGGGCGTTCCTCTGGTCGCCCTTCACCTCACCCACACCACCTGGAGTGTGGAACTTCATGCATAGATGAGGCATGGAAATCACCGCCCCGACTTTATTGATGCCTGGCCTTCCTAGGATTGCGTTGTGGACGCATTTGATGTCCACAACTATGAACCGCATCTTCTTCCACACGGTCTTTTCACCTGATCCTAGTTCGACTGGTAGAACTATGGATCCTTCAGCTTCAACGGTATCCCCCGTGAAGCCTGAGAGAGGGGTTTTGAGGGGTTCAAGTTGTGTTCGACACAACCTGAGTTTTTGGAAGGTCTCCAGGTATAAGATGTTGACACTGCTGCCGGTGTCAACAAGTACCCGGGCGACATCTACCCCATTAATGTCCATGGTGATGACCAATGGATCATTGTGATCTTGACCGGTAGGAGGGAGATCCCGGTCAGTGAAGACGATTGGCTCCCTCCTAGTATGTTTACGCCTGGGCGGTTCAGCACTTACTTCTCCCACGTAAATGCTTCGGACCCAGTTCTTCCGCTGCGCGGCTAAATCTCCACCCTCGGGTCCGCCGAAGATCATGCCGATGTGTTCTTTTTCGGGGGCAGGTTGCCGATCCCTTGGCCGGTTATTCCTCCGCCGGTCATTGTCCCGGTCATTCCCTGGGGCAGTTGGCCTAACCCACTGATGACTCTTCTCCTGGGCTTTCTGCAAGTAATCTTTGCCCAGCTCTCCACTATCGATCATCTGCCGGATGATCCCTTTAACACTCTTGCATTCGGAGGTGGTATGGGAATTGGACCTGTGGTACGAACAATAGGTGCCCGACCACTGCCGCCCTACTTGACCGATAGGGTTTTCTGGAGGAATGACCGGTGCTTTCCGAACTTCTTGGCATTCTTCTGTATTGACCACTCGGATGACCGGGTCATAGTGGTGCCTCGGCCGGCTAGGTCCCGGTGCTTCTTCCTTCTTGACTTGCACCGGCTTGGGCTTGTGACCATGCTCAGCTTCTCTCTTTGCCCGGAGCTGGGTTTCAGCTTCAGCAAACTCCCATGCAGTATTGTAGGCCTCTTGGTATGTGGCTGGGGGTTTCCGGCAGAACTCCTTGTATAGTTCCCCAGCACGCAAGCCATTCAAGAGGAGGGAGAGGATGGTCTTGTCATCCATCTCCTCCACCTTGTCTACCTCTTCCTTCCACCGGGTAAGGAACTGAGTGAGGTTCTCAGACTCCCTCTGCCCGGCTGTACTAAGATAGGTGAACTTCTTCCTCTTAGTACAATTCTCCTGGAACTTGGCCTTGAATTTTGAGGCCAAATCACTGAACGAGTCAATGCTTCCCGAGCGAAGCTTATTGAACCATTCAGTGGCTCGGTTCCGCAAGGTCTGGAAGAAAAGTAGACACTTTTCTTCATCGGTGCAACCGTTCATGGTCGCACTCTGGTTGAAGGAGTCCAGGTGGATCTCCGGATCTTCCTTCCCGGTGAATCTGGGGGCGTCGATCTTGACCTTTCACGGGAAAGGTGTCAGATGGACCCTTGTGGTGAACGGGGACCCTGCCAGGGGTTTGTCCCGGTCATTCTTCTCCCCGACCTTCTTTTCCAGCCTTTCCAGCTTTGCCTCCATCTGTTGGACGCGGTCGTTTGGGATGGTTAACCGGTTCGCCACCGGTAACCTGGGCTGGCTTTCTGCCTCCTCTTCCTGGTGGGAGGCCCTCGTCCTCGCTGGCTCCTGCCGGTTAGACCGGGAGCGCCGGGTGCGGGCAGGCTCGGCCTCCCGCACCTCGCCTAGCCGGGCGAATGCGCTGACATGGGCAAC